CGTGAGAACGGGGCCCTTCCCTGGCCCCAGCGGATGGCTCCAGAACGGAGCGCACAGAGGTCCTGGCCATGGGCTTGTGCCTTAGTGTGAGCAGGAAGGGAGCCTTGTGGCAGTGCCCAGTGCCAGCCCCAAGCAGCCAGGGACTCTGACCCCTCCTCCAAGGGCAGTTTGAGCCCCCAGCCGTGCAGGCTGAATTGGGGGGCTGGCAGTGTGGAGACAGGAAGGGTCATAGCTGCACCAAACTGGAATCCCGACCATCTGGCCCCAAGCGCACAGCGGAGCTGCAGCCACGCCCTCGGCATGCAGGGGCCCAGCTCCCACAGTGCGGGGCTCGTGCCGAGGAGCCGCGTTACCTGGCCAGATGATGGCTTCCAGCAAGGTGACCCTTCTGGCCAGGAGCTCCAGCTGGGCCTGCTGCTGCAGGAAGGACTGTAAGCTAATGGCCTGCTGGAGATCGAGAAGAGCACAGTGCGAATTCGTTCACCCTCGCGGGGAGGGAGCCCCGAGGGCTCTGCGCTGGGTCCAGCTGCGGAGCGGGAGGAGGGTCCCTGCTGTTGCAGGCATGCGCCCAGGGCAGGCAGGGCCAGAGTCCAGGGGCTCAGCTCCACCCCAGTCAGCACGTCTGCGTCTGGAGAACGCTCTGGGCCTCCTTTCCCCTCTGAGCTCCCTCGGGCCCGGGGCTGGCACAGAACCAGGGGACTGAGGGGGGCTCTGCGCTGGGTCCAGCTGCGGAGCGGGAGGAGGGTCCCTGCTGTTGCAGGCATGCGCCCAGGGCAGGCAGGGCCAGAGTCCAGGGGCTCAGCTCCACCCCAGTCAGCACGTCTGCGTCTGGAGAACGCTCTGGGCCTCCTTTCCCCTCTGAGCTCCCTCGGGCCCGGGGCTGGCACAGAACCAGGGGACTGAGGGGCAGCCCGTCTGAGAACATGAAGGCTGGGCCTGGGGACGCCGCGGGGCGCGCCGGGAGCTGCCCTGTGCTGGTCTTTTCCTCCTGCAGCAGCTGCAGAAGGCAGGCCCCCAAGTGAGCCCCCACGCGCCCCCGTTATACACAGGCAGGCCCAGCTGCCGGCGCAGGGCGCTAGGGTTGCCAGATGGCTCCAGCCAGCGCACCGGACTGCATCACACTCTAATCACGCCTGACTGAACATACCCGCCAGGCCAGTGCTCAGTGTGTTTCCCGAACAGGGAGCTCCAATACTGGAGTGTCCGGTTCACAGCCGGACACCTGGCGACCCTACGGGCGGGCCTGGCCCTGGGGCTGGGAGCAGGGCTGCTGCTGGTTCAGAGGCAGCGGGGGCCCGGGAGGGGAGCTCAGCCCGGCCCACCAGGACCCTGCCAGGCTGTCCGTCTGTCTCTACTCACCATACAGCCCAATCATTGTCTCCAAGATTAAAACCCTCTCAGCTAAAATCTTCAAAGCCTCTCGGAGCGGGGGTAACCCCTCCCCCTGCGGACGAAAGAGACAGATCCAGCCGTGAAGGGGCCGCCGACTCCCCGGGCCTCGGC